AGCTCTAGTAAAATTCACAGGTGTTTTCTGAGTTTTATGCAAGGAAAAAAAAATAATCAAAAGCCAATTCCTCCAGAAAGTAAAAGGATTATTACTGAGTATTGCTAACAGACTTGGATATTTATTAAAATTGAAATGCCTAAGCCAGGCAGCAGCTGAATCTATTTCTTTCAAATATATCCATGCAAAATTGTTTTAGTGCTGTATCAGCTCCCTTTTAAATGTTGTTTTCTTAAGCACCAATTTTCCTGCACAATGAAAAACTGGATACATATAGTCTGCCTGAATGTATCTGTCATTAATGGATATTTTTCAGCCTGTGATTCCCACATCAGCTCACATATTAGAGCAATGTTAGAACAAAGCCTGCATCCATCCTTGTGGACCATTCTGTGAAAAAAAACTCCACGTAGTTTGTTGACAGCTCTTTCAGGCAAAGGTGGGATTTTTGCCTGAGTCTCTCAAGACATTCATGTGCAGCAGAGAAGGCTTTTGTCCTTTGTAGCAGTAAATCCTTTCTGAAAGTCCACCTCTTAGACCTCCTGATGTAATGACCTTTTGAATCCTGTTTTGTCACTGACAACAGACTTGGTGAGTGGGAACAAGGACTTGAGGGACTTTCCCAGTTAAGTACATACAGGGAGAATAGAGGGCTTCTTGCTTTATAAAAGAAAGTAGAGTCAGACCCTCGGCTGCTGTGACCCATGAAGAAGCTTTAATTTCAGCAAATTTCGAAAGTGGGTAAACAAAACCAATCCAAAATATTCAAACTTCAAGAAATAATAGCTACTTTATTAAAGATAGTGGAAAGATCATGATGTTCTTTTCTTTTGCCTTAATAGGATTGCTTTTTGTGGAGTATTTTCCATGGAAAGCTTTAGAGCTCTTGCTGTCTGGTATTAAATCTTCTTTTAGCTTTTCTGTTGCCTTAAATATATGAGCATCAATTTATTGACACCCAAAACAATCAAATTCTTCCTCAATCCTTTGTGGTAGGTGAAACTTCGCTGTTTTGGGTTTCATATTGCTGACCCATATATTTCAGACTGGAGGTGGGATTATTCTGTCCAGATTTAGATATCCACAGTGTAGATGTCAACAAATGAGCTGGCTGTTCAGAATTCCTTTACACTCTGGGACAGGAGCTGGAAGTTTAAAGGAGATGGTTAAAATGGGTCAGACAAAACACTTTCTTCACATGTCTGCTTTTCTCTGTTGGTAGAAAAAGAGACTTGACAATGAGCTTGTGTGTGAGGATGTCTCTCCCGGGTTTCTAAAATTAGGAGACGTGTCCTAGGTCACTGAGGGGTTGATTTCCCAACTCTGCTCATAGCTGGTGAGCAGGAACTCGAGGAAGGGGCACTGTGCCTTTTAAATAAATGATGTAGCTGGAAGACCACATTTAGGAGTTTATAGGAGGGAAGTCATAAAGTGCAGTGGATTTTGCATCTTTTATTGAGAGCCTAAAGATAGAAAAACATCAGGTGTGTAATGAAAGGTGTTCCAGCCCTCAGGAGAGCCACTAAGATGGTCAGGGGCTGGAACACCTCTCCTATGAATTCAGGATGAGTTGGGACTGTTCATCCTGGAGAAGAGAGGGCTCCAGGGAGACCTTAGGAAACTTCCAGTGCTTAGAGGGGTGTTAAAACAAGATTGGAGAGGGACTTTTCATGTCATGAAAAGGGGGAATGGCCTTAAATTGAAGGAGGGTTGATATTAGGAATAAATTCTTTCCTGTGATGTTGGTGAGGCACTGGAGCAGGTTGCCCAGAGAGGTTGTAGGACTGACAATCCCTGGAGGTGTCCAAGACCAGAAATCTGCTCTAGAGGAAGGTGTCCCTGTCCATGGCAGGAGGTTGGAATGATGATCCTTAAAGTTCCTTCCACCCCCAAGCCATTCTAGGATTTTATATGATAATTACCATTTCATATATTTTGCACCCAATAATTCTCCACCCGTGTTTATTCTTCATAGGGAAATGTTCTTTATGGCTCTAAGAAGTGTTGGAGTAACTGTACATGGGGTGGTTGACTTTTCTGAAATGTATTCTGTCTACAAAACCTCAATTTCTCCTGCAAATTGCCAGAAGCTTTCAGATTCCCACACCTGGGCATGGGGCAGGAAGAGGATGTGGTGGGAGACCCTGCCTGGACACTGAAGTGAGATGAATTTAGTAAAGAATTCCCATTCAACCATCACTGGTCTGAACCATTGTGGGGAGCTTTGAAATGTGGTGGTTTCCTTTCAAACCACAAGCACAGGTCCCAGAGGAACACAAGGAGCCCAGATCAGGTGGTTTCCTTTGGGTGACATCTCAGTTAGAGCTTGTAACTGCCTTGGAAAGCCACTAAAAATCCTCTTTCTTCATCAAAAAAATTCCTCTATTTTGTTCATCCACTGGGTACACTCTGCAATGCTGTATAACAATTTTACCCATATTTGATACTGGGACTTTTTATCCTTTTGAGCAGTGATTTTTCACCTTTTTTATGCCTCCCTGGGAGTAGTCCCATCATAGCTAGAAAGGTCTCACTGTGTGGTTTTGTTATTGGTGACATCAGATTGTGCACTTAACATTTGTGGGATTCTCATGGAGGAATTGTCCTCACCAGCCTCCAGAGACCTTTTTAGATGGAGAAAGAAATGGACACTTGCAGCAGAACAAGTTTTGCCAGAGCTTTTCCAAGCTGCCCTTGAAGCAACTCAGATACTTTCATAAAGAATCTGCTGTGACACTGAAAGTGTTTCCAGTGGACAAACAAATTCACCTTCAGAGGGGATGAATTATTTTCTTAAGTCACTAGGTGACCAAAACAATGCTCTTTTTCCTTCTTCCTGTATACCAGCCATGCTTGAAATAAGCCCCTGAAACCCATTCTATTTTGGCAACAATCTGATTTTCAGATTCTCAGACACTTCAACAGCCCTTCTATTTCACCAGAGATAACTGAAGATTATTTTGAGGAACTGTTTATCCATAACTGAAAGGTGCAACTCCTCTGTTATTGTCTCTTCTGACTTCACTAATTTTAATTACAGTGGCAGATGCAGATAAAACAACAGCATGAAGCATCAGTAATGAAATTACAGGATTTATCAACCTATGACATCAGAAGAAAATATAATAATTCAAGCTTCCCTTCCAAATCCAATACTGATACATTTATTTATTTTTCTCAATACTGAATGGTAATGCTTTATCACCATTGCCTATTTTTTTTTAAAGTTTATTTTTCTTGTTTAACATAGCTGATCGTAATGATAGCTGATATTTGGGAGGTAACTGGGGTTTAATTGGTGATACAGATCCCTTTAATTGATAACAGAGATAAGTAGCCTTTAATTAGTAATGGCTGGACTCTGAATGTATATATAACATATATGCCAGGAACAGCTCAACAATATAAAAGGTTCTGCTGCAGGTCCAGGGCAGAAGTTCTGGAACCTGTTATTCCCTAATAAACACTCCAGTTTCTGTGGATGACACGAAGGCCTCAGCCCAGTATTTGGTGCAGGTTTCCATGACTACCTTGAAGGCAAAAAAAATGAAGTAGATTCTTTTATTTTCCCTGCAATATGCGAAAGAAAAGCCATGAAATGGTTTGCAGATGTTCTTGTTGTCTCTTTAGAAGCTCTGTTGAAATCAGACAAGACAGAAAACAACCACCCTGCACTTTTCAAACCTAGGGATTGCCAGGTTAAAGTAAAAAGAGTTCTAAAGGTCACCACTTTCCCCCAGGGCACCTGTGTATGTCCATCTTTTATTCTGGCATCTTCCACCCTCCCACTGCATTTTAATCATTTCCTGATGCATTACAGTGGCAGAATGAAAGGACAGAATACAACCTCCACACCCCTCTCTGGCTCTCCTGGACTGAGCTGCACACAGGAGTGCAAATGATCAGGAAATAATTTCAGATCCAATGGCTGCTAATGCGTCTGTCTGGTTTTGTCTTGCTCCTGTTAATGGAATTCCGAGTCCTCACGGCTGAATGTCACCAGGGATGTTTGCTGTCCTCCTCGGCTGAGATCTTATCAATTGCTCATTATTTGATAAACCATCAGAAATACAGTTCAGTAATTAAATTCAGTGCCAGAACAGAGCGTGAGTGACTGATCAAGTGAGCATAGAAGAAAACAGATCAGTTTAGAGTGAATTTCATGAATCATTGTTCTCCCAAAATTTAGAGAGAGATTAATTTTCCTGTTTTATTTTTTAATTGAAAGACTCTCTCCTTCCTAAATGCTGATGTCCTGGCATTGTGTTGCAGTCAGTATAAAACTCGAGTGTCCTTTGGTTCTAAGAGTTTTTTTACAAATCTTTCCTTTACAAATCAAAGCAGGTTAATGAGAAATAAACTCAAATCTTATAACACTTTCCCCCCAGTCCTCAATTCTTTCTGGGCAGAGGCCAAGCAATGGAAGTCAAGGGTAGGGATGACATTGTTGTTCATATAAATCCTTCCTGATTATGTCCTGGACGAATCTTTAGCCTGAGACTACAATTCATTCCTTTGCCCCTCTACTCAAGTTCTCAGTTCTCAGAAAGGTTATTAACAAGATTATTAACAGGTTATTAACAAGTCTGGTAATGGATTTTGTTACCTGGACAAACTGTCTTGGGAACCAGACCCCTAAGAAGCCCCCAGACAATTTTGCTTTTAAGACACTACTGAAAATCATGAAGGGCAAACCACAGCTTCAGAGATGAGGCAGACAGGTCTTTTTTCTTGTTCCAAATAATTCCCTCTTCCTTCTCCCCTGGCTACAACTGAGGTGTTTGCAGCTACAGAACCTGTTCCAGCACTTCTTTGACACAAGTTACTGATCATACAAAGTTCTTTGTTTTAAATTAGATATCCAAGACCAGCTTTAAAATCTGAAAAAGCCTGGTTGATCTCTAATAAGTGCAAGTGTTGGGTTCTCTGTTTTCTGTCCATTTCTTTTTCATTCTCTCCATGGTTTACATATTTATAATGATTTTCCTCTTTTGCTGCAGAGATCTGAGCTTTGATGTGAAGACCTCAACCAAAATATCTGCAGAGAGCCTGTGCTTCAGCCCTAATCAGTCTTAATGAGCAAAACTTGTCCAAAATTAGGAGAGAAGATGGCCATCAACTGGAAGGTCTGCTTCTTCAGCCTCGTATTGCTTCCTGTGGTAAGGAAAATATGATTTTATTTCCATTGTTCTGATATAAATACATGTTCTCGAGGCCAGCACTTGCCAAGAGGGAAGGATCTGCTGCTGACACTGATTCTGGATTTTTCTGGGTGGTCTCATAGTTTGGTTTAAGACATTTCCAGCCTCCTTTGTTAATGAATTAGGGCCATGATCACTGCTCAGACTGGGAAGGGCAAGTTCATCCCTTGAGGACATTTGTTCACTTTTTTTAACCAAGGTTCAAAATAAAATTAAGTAATAATTAGAAAAACAGAAAAAGGATAGTGGGTCTTCTGTTTCAAATCCATTGGTTTAAGACTGTTGTTTTTTTTTCCCAGACAGAGGGATAAAACTAGAGATTCCCTTCATCCCTCCCTATGACACCTAAATCTCAAGATATTCCAGGCAGTGTTTTTGGAGGCCTCCCTTTTCAGAGGAGCAATTTTAAGAAACAATACAAATGGGCATCTAAAGATACTAAAGGCATTTAAAGTCATCCATCATCTTTCTTTCTGAAGATATTCGACTCTTTATGAAGATGACAGGGATTAATTTTCCCCACAAGTCTTTACTTGTTAAACAATGTGCTTTTCCATTTATAACTCCACGTTACCACGTCTGGGGATTGTGACTCTCCCTCTCCATTGTCCCTACACACAGTGACTGCATCTCACCTCACATAACAGCCACAAAAACACTGAACAAAGATTTTGATTTTTTTTTTTTAACTTTGTAGCTGTGAGGAGTCGCACACAAGCCCTGCAATAACCTCTTGTTGCATTTCAACACAGTTCTGTGTTAAACCATTGATCACAAATGTGCTTTTCAGCTCTTCTCCAGAAGCATTGCTCCCAGGGATTCAGTGACAAATAGCACCAGGATTAAAATCCTTCAGCTCATTCCCATTAAGAGCCTTCTACAACTTCCATTCAAATGCTTTACACTTGCTTAATACACAGATATTCTCAAATTAGTGTGCTTTAATAGTCAGTATTTGAAAGAATTCACGACATTTAGATATTTTTATTTTTAAATGCAGCTGTTTAATGTGATGGTGGTGTGACCAGAGCATCTTTTAGCAGTTTTTGCAGAACTTTTTTTGCTCCTGTGTATCAAGTATGTGGCCTGTGTTCCACAATGCATAGCAGGCAGCACACAGAACTTATTTTTACTTTGGCACACAAAAATAAATTTTCTTTCCTTTTGGCTCTTATTTAGAGTCAATTTCACTGCACATCTGAAATGTGGCATAATTCAGCTAAATTCTGTGGAATTGGGTTGGAACTGATACCATATAATACAGTCCTTTACATACAAATATAGGGTCTTGGAATGTTTATCTAAAACATGGCTCCTGTGACTCTTCCTTAGATTTCCTGGTCAGGTAGAAATGATTAATTATTAAAAACTGAATTTGTTTAATTTTTATAATACATCTCTAAAATTACTACTGTAAACCTCCTCGAAGCAAATGGGGAGGAGGAAACTCCCCCACCCAATTTAACCTGATTTAGGTACTGATATTCATGTGAGATTCCTGACTATAAAAGGAGTTCAGCTCAAATTCAGATGCTGGTTTTTTGGACATAGAAGTGTTGATGACATGGATCCTGCCCTGGGAGAAACTGGAAAGTTGAATTCCTGGCCATGCAAACACATTTTTCAAACTGCAACCAAAATAATTAAATGACTCAAAAGACAAAAAGAATTTCTGTTAAATGATCAACAACTTTCAATATTTCAAGACTTTTGGTGCTCAGTTTGAGACCCTCGAAAAGTGTCTTGTTATTTAGAGGTGAACAGTTTTTAATTAAGGGAAATAAAAGAACAAATCTCTCGAGCTCTCAGATGGGTGACCTTCCTGGCAGATGGAGAAGGACAGCAAATTCCCAATTGCTCACGTTTCAGGACATAACTGTGGTTGCTGAGCTGGATAATTAGTGATCAGCTCCAGCTTGTGGAAAGAACAGTTCTTAATGAAATACCAAATAGCAAACCAGAGCTAATAAGAAAAAAAAAAAACTTTTTATTTGCTGCTTCTTCAAAGTTTGTGATCTTATTTATAAGGTTTTACTGCAGTCTTTTGCAGGAATCCAGATATTAAATTTACCATTTAATACACATGAATTTGCACACACAGAGCCCACCACAGAGATTATACAATAATTTGTGAACAGTATTCATTTCACATTAAATCCCTACATTTCTTTTCACAGACCACATTTCAGGAATGATAGAAATGTTATTCATGTTTCTTCCTTGCTGAGATTCTTTTGCAGTTCCTGTGGTAACACATTTCTCTCCACTGGGGCACACTCTTTCCCTGAGAACCATCTCAAATGTTGACCTCAAACTGGCACTTTCCTGCCATGCAGATTTTCCCATTTTCTAACAAAGGAGTGTATGTGACTTAAAAAAAAAAATAGAGTAATTGAAAGTCGTCTTAGACTCCACAGAGTTCCTGGAAAAAATTGTTTATGTATGCTTTCCTCTACACATCTCCTCTGCACATCTGGTCAGACCCATTTTACCCACAAAAGCCCCCAAACTGATGTCCACATCCATAAACAAATCAAGAAAAGACAAAAAGAGAGCCAAGTATGATTGGGAAATTCCAGGTGGCTTCAAGTATAGGCTCTGACCAGGCAACAAAGATATAATATGCAGAGAAATAATTAGAGATGAGCATTTGAAGCCAGTTCTAACTGCCAGAGTCAAGGGTGGTTCAGTTTTTCATGTGTTTAACAGGCTGCTCTGCATTAACCTAACCTCAGGACTGAAGGCACCAATGATGCCTTCAAAGCTTTAGATGAAATCTTGAGCTTTATCTTTTTCTGCCATTTTAAGTGCTTTCCTAGATTTAAATACCTCTGTTGCTATTCTAGCTGGTTTTAACCCATTTCTTTCAGCTGGCTGAACTCTTCCCAGTCTTTTCTATTCTTTGCTCTGGATGAAACTCTGAACAACTTGGGATAGTGGGGGGAGTCTGTCCATGGCAGGGGGCTGGAACTGGATGGTCTTTGATTTCCCTTCCAACCCAAACCATTCTAGGATTCTACAGTCTCTTTCTCTTTTTTTGTTTTTTTTTTTTTTTTGCTTCTGAATTCACTTTCACTGTAATTTTGATTGACTTTGCATTCCGTTCATCTGTGATAACATTAGGTTATGTTATTGTTGGTTTTTTTAAATTGGAAAATATTAACAAAAGTCATCATAAAATTATGGAGGAGAATGGATCCTAAACCATGGTTCTTTTGTCTGGTTCCAAATGCACTTGAGAAACAAGGAGTTTCATGACTCACAAAGTTGGCTTGGTGTATGAACTGAATTTTAAATGTAACTGCAATGCAGGTGTTCTAACTGTCCAGAATAATTTGATCAGATGTATTTCTTCACCTAATACTTGGAATTTCCTGTGGGTACATATTTAATATTGCTAAGCTTAAATGTTTCCAGTGGTAGAATATTCTGTGTAATGTTTGATTAGCTGGGAAGAATGTTGTCCTTTAAAAAGGAGAGAACTGTGGAAAAGGGAAGGTGTAAGTGATGCCTCTTGTATAACAACATGGAGGTGTGACCTCTGAGTGGCAGTCAGATGGGCAAATACAGATTTGGATGTACAGGCAGCACCTCACAGAGCAGAGAATGGAGCCTGGATCTGATGAGAGTTAAGCAATTCATGAAGAGGTGAGGAGAGAAGTGTTTGCTCAGCCCCTGTTTGCCGAGGGGGGGAATATTTCTCAATTTTCTCAGAGTGTGTGCAGGCTACAGAGCACAGAACTCTTGTATCCTCTATTATTCATCCCTGGCTGTCACTTCCAGTGCCAGGCTGACTTCAAATAGAATCATCTACATTCCAGCCTCTGTTATTTTTAAAAGATCAGGCACAGTGTATTCAGGCACAATATTCTACAAGGTTCTCTCCCAGCCTGCCATGTTTTTAAGCACAGCCCAAACGTGAGGCTCCTCAGGTACAAACATAAAAGGTTGGGTTGGTCCCTGCTCTTTAAGCAAACTATTTTTTCTATTCCAGGGTTTAATGAGAGAGCTTCTAATGAGTTTACCTGCCTGGTGATTTGTAGCATCTCATAACCCTGTAAGAGAAGTCAAGCTCTCTGTAGGACTGCAGGTTTCTTGAACACAGTGTACAGTTGCATGCGACTTCCCTGTTATTTATGTAATGAAAATATAAATATTTTATATACAAACACAGCCAGGGGACTGCTGGGAATGTTCTCCATAGGAGATAAAGACTCAGCTAACCAAGGCATTAATGCTGCTGTAGCTTTTCCATTTTAATAGGAGGAGCTGGTGCTGGGGCAATCGGGAGAAAATAGCAACCTCTTAAAAGCCTTGTTTAAAATAAAAAAAAAAAACCAAGTCTTTGGATGTGTAATACAGAGTAAAACAGTTTCAAAGAGCAGGTTCATAATTCTGGTATCACAAAAAATCATCTGAGAAACTCAGCGTGGCAAAACCACAGAGGCCTTGATACCAACCAACTCCAAGGACGTTTCAGAGGCACAAAAATGAGGATTTTGAGTCCCAGATGGTTGCTGTGCCCTCAGTTAGGTGGGATGGAGCCTTACAGACAGTGCCAGAGTGAGAGTTCTCTCAGGGTGAGATTTCCACCTGACATATCTCCAAGTCTCTGGGGTTTTTTTTGGTTTTATTTTTCTGAGAAAACTCAATGCCCAAGACACCTGAGTGTGGTGGGAGCCCTGGATATTGCATTGGTGCACTGGCACTTGTCACCTCACCTGGGCACCTCAGGTGCCAGTCAGGGTTATTGGAGAAGCTAAAGAAAGACACCTGGTTAAAATGGTTTTTATAGAATTATTGAATGGTTTGGGCTGAAAGGGACATTAAAGGCCAGGTAGTGTCACCCCCTGCCCTGGGCAGGGACACCTCCCACTACACCAGGATTTTCAGAGCCCTGTCCAGCCTGGCCTTTAAGATTTTTAAGCTTGTTAAACTGATTTGCACAAAAGATGAAT